TTTGGAAGTCTGTACAATGTTGACATTTGTGCCCATGAAAAGATCGATGTTTTTGTTGTGAGTTCAGCACTAAACTTTCCTCATGATTAACGACTAGGTGACATCCGGAAAGTTCAAGAATATTTTATTATTTATCTCTTTGTGCCTCACAGATGCAGTACACAGGAGAGAAACAGAACTTTCCTGTACTTCAACATTGGCCAGATTTTCAGAATTCACATAACCTTGGCATCTGAAGCCGCAAAGGCAAAATTTCTCATTTCAGTCCGGTTATTTTGTTTCTAGTTTTAGTTAATCGTTTTCGATTACACATGCAAATAAGATGACCTACCACTGAAAGCATATTTTTTGATTGTCCTGATCTAATACATGTATATAGTGGAAACATTACTTGTCCATATTGTGTATTGTACAAGCCTTTAAAATGTGTGTTCAATTTATTTCAAACTAGGGAACTGAAAGTTCTTGAAGGTCCTCATTATTAGCCATTTTCATAAATTTAGATCTAATTTTTCTGTTTTTTGTTAGAAAACACCGTGAGATTGTACATGTGCATGGTAAAAGCTTTTTTGTCTCTTGAAAAGGAAACATAGAACCTACGTGAGCTGTGTTGACTGGCAAATCAAAATAAGCAAGTGGTATTCAGTTCTTTTACTCAAAGTGTTTTCTAGCTCAAATTCAGAACTTTTTACGTTGCTAGAAATGATGCATGCGTGGACGTTTGGAAGAACATGGAAAAGCTGTGAAAACTAACCTATCGCTTGTGTTTCAACAGTATCGCTCATTCTCCTAACATTCCATGCATGTTTCTATGGTGCAGTATAAATATCAACAGCTTTCTTTTTAAAATTTTCTTAATTTCAAGAAAAGAGTGTGATTGGATGGAGAGTTAAATTTGTGAGAGCACACCAGCAGCCATTTCTGCAGAGTACAGTGGAAATCAACATCAGGGCCATATTGAAATGGTCACGTGATCATTATGGCTTTGGTTGCGCATGGATCTTATTGCTTTAATGCCAAATTTAATCCTGATTTTTTTCTTAATTGTATTAAAATTTAACCTACGCTTGTACTACCTATTCAATGATTGAACTACAGTATGAACCCGAGTTTTCTGGGAGCGAATTCCCAATAAGGTATAACCAAGTTGACTGTTGTTCATAGAAAACGTGAGCCAGTAGTCTTGTAATGTTTTAGTAGATACTCTTAAGGATTACAGCACATAACTTTCAATTTTGTGTATTTTTAAGCTTTAAATTAATTCAGAATGATTTTCACTTTCAAGAGTAGGGTGCATGCAGTCATTATCTACCAGCTAAATCATCTAATTGATAGAAAATGATGAGAGAACCAAATTGAAGATACGATTCGCAGATTTCTAATAGAACACAGCTGAGTGGCTACTAATCAGTTGTTTAGTAGGCTTTACACTGTAAGCTCTGACAAGACCTTTTGGCTGTTTTATCCCTGGAAAATATTTGTCAAATCTGTCTATGGTATGGTAGACTACCGTAGTTACTTAATTTACTAAAACATATCTTTGTATTTTTTTTCAGAATAAATTACTTGGCAAGTCGCTGAATTTGAAGTCAGGTCCTGTTGCAGGGTCATTCTTGTTTGGGACCCCATCTTACCCCTCCCCTCTTGATCGTATCAGACCAACCAAAAAGGACCGAGCTGCAGAGCTTGGCCTTAGCACTGCACTACAAGATTCCTTGGATCTGAATGCTACATTCCCTAAAGCATACAAGCCAAAAGCAAAGTTAGATGAACACAACATGGACGTTTTCAAACCTAACAGGAATCTGGATCAGATATCAAGTGAGTTCAAAAATAAATTCATTCATCAATGGATCTTTCAAATGTTCACTTTCAGTCAAAAGAACATTTTTCACGTCTTTGTACTGTTCCAGAAAATAGCCTACATGTACCCCCTCACAGAAGGTGTCTTGGTTTGAACCTGACCCCACCCCTCTTCCAGTTCAGCTTTATACTTTCCTTTGAAAGTGTTGGCATGTAAGACCAGCTACCCCCTTGGAACTTCCAGTGGCCTTCCATGGGCTAGGTTTGAATATTTTATGGAAAAGCACATTTCAGTTCCGACTGTTTGCTGTTTTTTTAAATTGTTAAATTTATTTTTATATATTGTTTTATTTCACAGGTGATTCATTGCACAGCTTCAGTTATTCCCCTGGCCATTGCCGAGGCTCCTTTCTGCCGACTCCCGCTGATCCACGATTGTCATCTTCGTGGCAGTTTTACAACTTTGTTGGTGGAGCTGGAACAGGAGCTGTCTTTCCAACCACTGTCAGAAATCCTGTATGTACCTTGATACCTCATTTGCTAGGTGAAACCTTCATGAGAGCGTGATATGAAAGTTGAAAAAAAATTGGATATTGTTGGTTTTTTTAATAACCATCTGAAAACATAAAATATCACTTCTGGTTAGGTCAGAAACCGTGGAGGGTGAGGATGTAGACTTACATTCTTGTTTTGACGTCACAGCACGACTATTCCCAGATGCTAACCCCCCGTGGTTTCTGACCTAGCTGGAAGGATAATTTCACNGTTTGAAAGTAACAGCTTGTAAAGGTCCTCTTTTAAAACATGCATTTGCATTTTGTATTGTTTCAACCTATTTTTTTGTTTTACAGAACAAAGCAATTGTCGCAATCAATGCTAGAACATCAGAAATTTTGACAGCTAATGACATGGCAGCCGAATTGTTTGGCTACTCCACGCAACAGCTTATCGGTATCAAAATGTCGCAGCTTTTTGCCGACGTGCACAAAGAGAAACAAGAAGCCCTTGTAGAGCAGCATATTGAAGCTAGTGGCGCAGTAGTCATGGTCAATGGGAAAGTGGTAAGTGTGTGATGGAATGCAGTCTTTGATTATTTCATGATTTGATTTCAAAGTGATAATTTTCATCTTTGCCAGTTCAAGTCCAGTGGCATTTTATAAAGCTACATGTACCAGTATATTATTTATGCCATAGAGCACTTTTTCTGTGTTTACATAGCCTAATCTAAACACCAGGAGGGTCGGGAGAATTCGAGACACTTACGCATAACTTTTGAGAATTCTCCCAGCGCCCCAAATGTTTAGATGAGGCTATGTAAACATGGAAAAAATGCTCTATTGCTTTTATAAAATAATTCTCAAAACTACGTGTAAATCTGAAATGTCACAACCATGTTTACATACTCTCATCTAAACACACGTATCGACCAATGAGAGTGCACATAGTAGCTCAGTTATTTCATAAAACATTATATTATAAATAGCTACATGTACATGTAGAGTGACGATAGAATCAAAAAAGAAAAAGACGTTGGAATTGGAGTTTGAGTACATAATCTAATGATTGAAATATTTTTACTTTTATTCTTGAATACCAGTGAAGAAGTACATGTATTATAGTGATGGACCTGAAGATTTCCTTCCATAAGTTGTAAATCTGTTTTTGGTATTTCCCTTGACCTGTGTATAAGGCTTGGGCCTACACGTGACAGGTTCTTGCAAGTAGCTAAGAGAGAAGACGAAACCTGGCAGCTTTTGGCAGCCTTTAACTGAGAATGCTCAGGGTACTGAGAATCTGAAAAAGAGGAGCGGATCTTTCAGTTTTAGTGCTGTACAAGCTCTCTTAAACTAACACTGATTTGCTGCTGCCTTAATGTAAAAGACATGCTTTTTAGTCAGTGTAGAGTTTCTTTCAACAAGCCATATGTTTTATTGCCTCATGTCAATGCTTCTAATTTTATTATGTTGTAGTTGGAAGCTGTTGATAGCTGTGGAATAGTCTTCCCTGTCTCTGTTTGGATGAAGAAACTGACTTGGGAAGAGGAGCCACGGTGCATTGCTGTCATGGAACCTGTAGAGAGGAAAACAGCCATGGTTCTTTTTGATGCAGAGGTATAATTATAGAAGGCAATGGCAACCATCATGTAAATTCACTCACAACAGTCATAAGGGCTGGTGGCAGATTTTGTAATCCATTAGTCCAGTATAAAAGTGTTTAAACTGTACAAGTTTAATGCTATTAATTGCTTGGATCATGTGTACTTAAGGCATCTCTGGTCGGGTGTCGATTGATACCCTTAATCAATACTCCATTGACAACTTAGTCGGCACTGGAATGACATCTTGATCAATACTTGATCAACACTTGACTGACATCTCAGTTGACATTCAGTCAAGAGTCGACTGATTTTCATAGACATGCCATAGAGTGTCGATGGATATGTATGAGTTGGTCTACACTCTGCAAACTGTTGAGCAAGTGTCGATTGAGATTGAGTGGCAGTCGATTGAGCGGCAGTCTAGTGTTGACCTGGTATCACTCTTAGAAAAATGTCGATGGAGATGTTGCTTGAGAGTTGATCAAGAGTCGATTGAGGGTGTTGATGAACACTTGACCATGGCTGCCTTTACATGTATATGCATGATCCAGTTACTTCACCTATGAATAATCTTCGATTGGTTCAAACAGTAATGTCTGTGGTTATCATTGGTAGATGTCAAATGTTAGTTTCTTTTTTTTTCAAGTTTCATTGACTGTAATTATTTAAAATTATAAAAAGATTGATGGTAGTGAAAAATTAAATTTAAGTTTTTAGTTTTAAGATTTTGAACTTCAGAGTTTGTATGCTATTGCAATGTGCAGTACATGCAAATCTACCACTTAAAGTCATTCAGAATAACTTCCTTCCAGGGGATCATAGTGGACTGTGACCAAGAACTTTCGTCTCTGTATGGTTACCATGTTCCTTCAGATGTGGTTGGAGTCAACGTAACAAAACTGATCCCTGCTCTACAGCTGCCATCAGACACAAATATGAACAAGGTTTGTGGTAGATAATATAAGTCTGTGACTTGAAGTTGAGGCCAAAGGCTGGTTGTTGCCTTGTTGGATGAATTTTCAGTGGGAATATGGATCATGTGTACTAAAGGCATCTGCGGACAAGTCTAGATCGATACCCTTGATCAAACCTTGATCGAACCTTGATCGACACCTCTGTCAACACTTGATTGATACTCTGTCAACACTATCGACATCTTGATTGACAGTTGGTCGACAGTTGACTAATTTTCACAGCCACACCATCGAGTGTCGATCTATACATGTATATGAGTTGGTTGACACTCTGCCAACTATTGACCGACAGTCGATCAAGTTTTGATTGAGTGTCAATGGAGATGTCGATCAACTGTTAATCTAGCATCGACCGAGTATTGATTGAGATGTTGATTGAGTGTTGATTGCGGGCTGATCAAGGGTGTCAATCAACACTTGACTAGGATGCCTTTAGTACATATGATCCAGACTATGTTTACTGAGAAAGTCGCCAATTCTAAAGCTATGTACAAAATGATAGCTACTACTGTTTGGTTTACAATTATGATATTAGTAGTAATAATCAATCAAATATTTTTGCACCCACATGATTGGACTAGATGCATCACATGACTAAATATGCCCCAGCTAAACCTGGGGAATATCTGAGGATATTCTCCAAATTTTAAGATTCCATGTGTTACAAAAAATATTTGAAGGATAATAGACATAATAGCCTCCATGTTACAAATATGCTCAGATATTTGTTCCTGGGCATTACATGTATCTGTTCCTCAAACCTCACAGTTTTCCTCAAGCTTTGCTCTCAGAAAACTTTTTGCTTCTTGGAACAAATAATTTCTGCGAACAATATATCTGGAGATAATTTATTTAAAAGTCAAATGGAGAATATTGTTTATATAATGTACTTGTTTTCATTTATGTTATTTGAGGCCTGTTAAAAATGGTCTTGTTATTAACAGTAGGTTTTTGTAGGTTCATGAATGAATTTTTTTCTCCATTTTTTTTCTTAAAGCATGTCAAGAAACAAAGAGCTACAGGGAGAACAAAAGATGGTGCAACATTTCCTCTTAGCATCACACTAAAACCCAAGTACGGAAAGGATCTGAAGAAGCTTGATCGTGACAAAGACTTTGCTGATGATCAACTGTTCTACAAGGGAATGGTATGGGTGTTTGCCAACATCAGTGGACTGGTAACATTCACAGCTGATGGCATCATCCATTCCTATAATCATAATTTCTCACTGATGCTCTTTGGCTATCATGAGAACGAGCTTGTTGGAAAGGTAAAATTTAAAAATTTAGTTTTGGTTTCCAACTCCTTAAACCAGTTTCATTCCTATTTCCTAGTGTTTCACAGTGAAAAGTAAAATCAAATTAAACCATTTCACTTTATATATTGAAGATTTGAGATTGCCAATATTCAGCCACTGGGCTATACAAAATAAGCACTGTTATTATTTGATTTATTTTTTCTTCCTTTTCATTGGCTGAGAGCCCACCAAATGACCTGCGAATAACTGCCGACAAATAATGTTCTGCTCATGTGTAGTGCCAGTAAAATGTGTTTAGCTGTAAATAATATTCTGCTCATACATAATTGTGACAATGCTCCTGGGTGAAATAATAATTATTATAGTAGATCGCTTCCCTGAGCTGTCAGAGTGATTTGAATCTGAAAATAAACTTGATGATTAAATGATAAAACAATAATTGAACTAGGTTATTGCAAAATATAATGATTTGTCATTGTGTCCCAGATCAATGATTTGCCTCAACCTTTGGCTTTAGCAAATAATTGATCTCCTTGTCACTGACAAATCAGAAACTTGTCCAATAATTGTTAATTAAATATTATGAGTCATATTTCGAATAATTCCAAAATTCCAATATTATTGCTTCCTATGCAGCTAACAAATTAGGTTGTTTACTTTGACACTCACTCATATTTCCATCTCAGCATATGACTGATCTCATTCCAAACTTCTACGACGACATGGACGACATAGATGATAACAGTATGCCTCTTCCACCATTTGACGATGAGGATGATGAGTTTGATGATGACTATGACGATGGCTTGCTGGACAATGATCGGAAGAGCACTGTAATCTACTCACGTGAACTGGATTCAAAATCAAGTAACTACAGTGGAGGAAGTTCAGGTAAATTAGTTTCGAACATTAGATTATTTTCATCGGTAGCCTGGGCCAGTGACTTTTGCCTTTTAACTATTCTATGTCTTTTAAGTTCTTACTTGGTTAAATGGGATAATACAACGACAACAACAATGGAATAATCAAAGTGAAACCTTATAACTCTGTACGTCTCTGCAACTTTAGCATGAAGTGAGGTTAAGTCTGCATTGGGCCAAGTGGTCCATACAACCAAAGGTTATCCTGGTTTCCATAGCATTAAGCATCTAAGAGTATTTCTACTCCCCTCAGTCGGGATGCTAGTCCATTGTAGGGTTACTCCTGACCATCCCTCCCATTGGTACACCTGGGTGAAGAGAGGGACTGTGAGGATATAGTGTCTTGCCCAAGAACACAACCAGGGCTTGAACCTAGACTGCTTGATCCAGAGTCCAATGCACTAGCTTTTAGGCAACTGGACCTCCACAGCTTTAACTTTCAAAGGACTTATTCTCCAGCTCTTGAAAAGGAGCAAAAAGGAGCTTCCAGCCCTTCTGAATGTCCTTCACAGGCACAAACGCATTGTTGCAGTTGCCCATTTATGTGTATGTACGTGGATGGAGGAGGAGGGCACAGGAGACTTATAGATTCTGTTGACCTTTAGTTCTTCGAGCTTGAGGTCTAGTGTTTTAACATGCAAATCTAAGATTGTGGATCTGTCGGTAGAAATTTACAATCACGTTGTATGCTCAGCGGAACACAGATAATTATCTTTTTAAAAGGTAGTAATGATGTAATTTGAATCCCTTTTCCCCAGATGGGAAAAATCTGGATGACTCCATTACAAGTTCTCTCAGCACCAGTATGGGTCTAAGCAGCTCCCATTCCACAGTAGAGAGTATCACATGTAAAACAAACAGACCTGGTTCCAGAGATGTACAGTCGCCACTGATGAACAGCACATTTCTTGACAAAGAAAGTATGGTCGCAAACTTTGGTGACAGCAAAGTACATGTAGGTAACAGTCTTGATGAATCCAGATTTCCATCCCTCGAGTCTGGTTCATTTACTTTAGTAACAAATGCTGAGGACAGTGGGATTGATGACAGGAGTGCAAGCCTGGAAAAGGTGCGGTTAGAGATCGAAGAAGAAAGACATGTTCAACATGTTGGACCTGTTGCTGTATCATCACCAGCTGATGGCGCATCTACGCCACTAACAGAATGTCAAGTTCAAGACAAAGAATCTTTAGCAGGCTCCTTCTCAAGTTGTCAAAATGAAAAGGAAATTTGCAATAAGGAAAATGAAATAGACGATGAGCTGAAACCACCTGAAAACAATAGTGAAGGTATTTATAGCCTCTAGTCATGGATTGAGCTTGCATAAAGTAACCTCTTCAAAAGCAATTCCAGTCTAAAGTTCGTCTCACTACTGGGTTTTCTTTAATTTTCTCTTAAATTTTCCCCTATGGATTTAAACAAATTATATTAAACAAATAATGTTAGGTGCCTAATGAGATTGCATGGCTACCAAGTCCAAAGGCATTGGCACTACTATTTTGTGAGTGTTAACTGAAGGTAAAATCTCAAAAACTGACATGATTTGTATATATTTATTAACATGTAGAAAGAGGTTGCTGGAAAGCGAGCAATAAGCCATTTCTGAGTTGCCTTTTACATCTGTGTCCAAACAAGTCTTGGTGCGAAACCATTCATATAAAAATAAGTTCCGCCTACTGATTCATTTTCATGAAAATCAAACTCATTTTCGTATGAAAGGTTTTGCATGAAGACTCGTTTTGAAACAGGGTCACAAGGTAACTCAGAAATGGCCTATTGAAATCTTCAATAACATTCATATGGTACCCTCTACTTTTGTTTCAACTACTGTTGAAAGCACAAGGTCTGTCCTGGTTGACTGGCAAAAGCAATAGAGTTACACTGTTGGAGAAGTTTGCCATAGAGTATGTAGTTATCTGTTCAGTACATTTGTTAATTGCGTACAATATGTACATGTGCATGTAGTGACATTTTGTTATTTTACAGTGCAACAGTCTTCAAGTCCTCAGTCATCAGCAAACACCAGTGAAACATATTCACTTCCGAGTACCAATGAAAACCGCTCATCTGTCGATACATCACTGGCAGAGTCACATAGCCAAAATGACTCACCAAAGACATTGCCGACTCCACCAGATGATGGTGAGTTCAAACTGGAAGGTTTGACATCGACGCCAAACTTGGTGACAAGCTTACAGTGCACGGATGTTCCATCACCCTTTCAACCTGTGTGTGAAGGAAGCTTTGTTGGTAGAGCTAAGCACAAAGATGGATCACCTCTAGGAATTATCTTTCAGGTTCAATGAACAGTTTTATTAAATAAAATAAATTATACATAATTTATATGCAGTGGAACCCTGTTAATCTGGCTCCCAGTGGGCCACAAAAATCTGGCTGTATCAATGGGGTGGTCACATTAAAAGGCTGGGGTTCTTTAAATGCAAAAATGACGGACCGAGCTTCTGTTCAGGCCAGAATAAAGTGGCTGTAATAATGAGGTGGCTGTATCATCAGGTTGGCTGTAAGGTGGGGTTCCACGGTACATCCAATTGGCTAGCTGGAAAACACATGATTTTAAACCTAATTTTACGGTTGTGTATTGTGATTCAGTTATATTATGGTTAAGTAGTTGTAATAATTATGTTTAAAAGCAAAGTTGAGAAGTTTATTTCAAATTAAGTTTGTTTTGAATTTGTTTTTGAGTCAAAGTGTTCGTGAAAACTCTTTTCATTTTGTAAGCTATGAATTAATTATCAAGAAATCCCAGAATTGTTTGGTTGCTAATATTGGAGTTATTCACACATTTTGTTCACAAGTTAATTACCCTCGGAGCTAAATCAGCAATCTAGCACCTTTTTTGTGCATAAGAATTTGATTAGGAACCATTATTGGTGCTCTTTTTGATTCTTGTCAACAGATTAAGAAAATAGAATTAAATGATGGGCGTGTCCTATATTGTGCGTGGATATCACGTGACCCTGAGGAGGAAGCAGAAGGTGGACGATCAACAAGCAGTTTTGCTTTAGCAGCAAGCTTTAACAGCACAGAGTTCTCAGTGGCCAGTATAGCAGAGGTAAGTGGACAGGCAACCTCCTATAGCAAACAAAAGCTGGATCATGTGTTCTAAAGGCATCTGTGGTCAAGTGTCGTTCAACCCTTGATCACTACTTGATCAATACTAGATCGACACTTCGGTTGACATGCGATCGACACTCGATCAACATCTCAGTTGGCAGTGTTGAGAGTTGACTAATTTTTGCAGATGTGCTATTGAGTGTTGATCGATACATATGTGTATGAGTTGGTCGGCACGGCTGACTGTCGGCTGACTTTCGATTGAGTGTCAATCGAGATGTCGATAGAGTGTTGATTGAGTGTCAACTGAGTGTCAATCGACACATAACTGCGGATGCCTTTACAGGGCAGGAAAAAAACAGGTCAGATTGCCCAGGGCAAGTAAATTTTGCTCCTGGGTCAGTGAAAATGGAAGTTTGGTGGTCTGGTTGGCAAGTGAAATTAGCCACAGTAGTCTTGTTGGTTCATTTTTTTCTGATCAAAAACTTAAGACTGAAAGATGAACAAATCAATGAATTGAAAGCATGGACTAATTTAAAATCCAAGCATACAGTTTTGATTGCATTCGTCCTCTGGTGTAGTCTATCTCTGACTTAGCTAGTTAATGATGTAGTTGATAAGGTATGAACATTGCATGCCTATTGGGCAAGTAATATTTTAGTGGGGAAAACTGAAAACTGAAATGTACTGGCCTACTGGGCAAATGAATTTCAAATTTTTTTTCCCTGCCTTGCTTTACTACACATGATCCCAAAAGCCTACAATTGAAATTTGAGAACACAAGAAAAAGGAAGAAAACAAGAGTTGCAAGAAAATGTTTTCTGCATTTCTCAAGTGTTTTTACTAGCATTACCAGCTTGTTTAATGGTGTAACTGTAATACATGTTTTAAACTCCTTTTTGCGTTACAAAAACATATGTACATGTAGCTGTCAATAGCTACATGAAACTGAGCATTCTTAAGAGCATTTGTTCAATGAAAATGAAGGATGCAATCTTTACTCACAGCTCAGCCATCATTTGAATGAGAGTAGTGTTAGAGAAGAACCATCACCTGGGCGTGGCCGGTATGACGAGAGGTACATCACCCTGCAGTCTATAGGAAAAGGTGCATTTGGATTTGTTAAAGTGGGTCAGAGGAGATCGGATGGAGTTAAGGTAACATTCTGTTTTGTTGCTATTGTTGTTATGTTAATTTGTATTTCATGAAATTCAAAATACTATTGTTGGAGGTGAAACTGTCACTTGTTAGTATGCTTTACATACATCTACATGTGATGCGGACACCTCATTATTACATGTACATCATCTTTGTGTCACTGGAATAGACAATTAAAACAAACTGATCAAATACNTGTCAAAGTGGTCAAAAGATGATTTCAGCACTGGTTTGATTCCTGATTACATCGATTGCAAATGTTTTGCCGGCAAGCCCGTGGCGACCAAAAATTTTGGTTTGTGTTTCGCTGCAAAGTAAAAATTTTATTGCCACTTTTTGGCGACCACATTTCTCCATTTGGCGACTGAAAAAAAAATTTCAGTCGCCAGTTGGCGCCTGCCGAAAAAAGTTAATTTCGGACCCTGCTCAAGTGTTGGACAGTTCAATGCAAAGATCTGATTTGCAGAGGAAGGGACTGATTTATGCAAGCCTCCTTTCTTTTACTTTTATTTCCAGGTTATTGTCAAGTTCATTAGAAAAGCAAAAATACTGGCTGACTGTTGGATTGATGATCCTGTGTTGGGCTCAATTCCTTTGGAGATTGCTTTGCTGGCAAAGCTCAAACACCCAAATATTGTCAAGGTAAATCTCATCTTTACCTTCTCCCTATGTCAAATCAATGGATGGCGCAGAAGAGAAACTTAATATGAGATTAAGATGGTTTCCAGTCAACATTTGAGCAGTAGTGGCAAAAATAAAGTTACCCAAAACCTTATAGTATGATAACATTTTGAATACTGTCAAGAAGAGCTTATCAAGACTTAGTGTTAGGCTCGATACCCTTGATTGACATCTCCATCAGTACTCGATCGTCATCCTGATCGATACTCGGTGGACAATCTATCGACACTTGATCAACAGCTGGTCGATAGTCGACCGAGTGTCGACCGACTCATATGAATCGATTGAAAATTTGTTTGACTGTCGACCGACTGTCGACTGAGATGTCGATGGAGTGTTGATTGAGTGTCAACTGAGGTGTCTATGGAGTATTGATTGAGTATCGATCAAGGGTCGATCAAGGGTATCGATCAACACTTGACCGCAGATGCCTTTAGTACACAAGATCCGCTTTAAGAAATTTACAGATCAATTTGATCCATTTGTTGTTTGTCTTTATCACAGATGGTAGAGGCTTTTGAAAATGAAGAGTTCTTCCAAATGGTTATGGAGAAGCATGGAAGTGGGATGGATCTGTTTGAATTTATTGACAGGCAGCCAGCAACAGATGAAGCTCTCTGTAGTTACTTATTTAGACAGGTGAAGCAACTTTTTTTTTCCTGAACACATGTATTTGTGCAGTGTGAAAGGTACAATTTGTTATCAATCAATCCTCATCATTCACAATTGTGCATACTTTTTAAGGTTGCCACCAAAGAACTTGTCTTTCACCAACTGTGTTACTCCAACCCTGCTCTGTCATGTCCTGTTTCACTGCACATCTCCATGTCTCCTTCGGTCAGCCCCTTCACCTCTTGACTTACCAGTTCCAAGGAGTCCATCAAATTACAACTCTTCAAACATTAAATGTCAATAAAACTAATATTGTTTTTGTCTCATGGATATCCCCTCCCTCTTGTACTTGATACACTTGATGTACATTTTAACTTGTTGCTAAACATGTTTTAAATCTAAATTAAGCTACAATGGGTGGCAAAAAGAGTTGAGACACTTTTAGAAAATTACACTTTTCGATAGGTAACAGGTCTTATTCTATTTCATTTGCACCTAGCATTAATTCTCTGATACCCCCCGGCCCTCCAATTCAATGCTGTGTAGGTGCTGTGGTCTGTGCAGTCTTTAGGGGAAAAGTGGGAGAGGAAAATGTTTCCAAGATGCTCAAAAATGGAATTTTACTGTGAAGTGAACAATACTTTTGTTGCTCATTGTAGTTTCAGCTGGGTCAATTAAAAAAAAATTGTCATGTCAGACCGTCAGGAGTTAAAATTTTGATATTATTTTGTTCTGTCATAGGTTGTTTCTGCTGTATCTTTCCTTCATAGCAGAAGCATTGTTCATCGCGACGTGAAGGTGAGAGAGAAACAGACAAAGTGATAAATAACTGGCATCTTGTCAACATTACATTTGACGTAGGGAATTTTGAGTGGCAATGTGTTTGATCTTTATTAGCAATAGGCCGTTCTATGTCACATGCCAGAGTTTTGAACAGTGTCATGCTGTCAGTTGTCAAAAGAATAGTCCTGTGTAGTCTGCATTCATGGTTCAAGTAAAACAGTACCTGTACTGGTGAAAATCTTCTTACAGTAGTCACCTCTTTACAGTTGTCCACTTTTTGGAACCAGGGCAGTCATCAAATTTTGAGTCACCTGTTGCCTTGTTCTCCACACCCGTAGCAAACTTGTTACTTTGTGGGTGAATTCTATGAACAACAGGCAATTTCACCTGCAGCATCGGAGTAAAATCAAGCATACTCAGCTGTAACAGGTGTGACAGGTTACAGCCCTCAACGAAAGCCTTAACAACTACTAGGATATTTTATTGCAACCTTATGCTGGTTTCTGGAGGTACGGTGACCTGATGGCTAGTGCACTTGACTCTGGATCTAGCGGTCTGGATACAAGCCCTGTCCTGGTAGGGGATTGTGTTGTGGGATTGTGGGTATGTTACTCTCCCAGGTGTACGGGTACAGGCAAATTTAATGCTGGGTGTAACCCTGTGATGGACTAGCATCCCATCCGGGGGGAGTAGAAATACTCCTAGTCACTTCATGCTGCAGAAACCGGGATAAGCTCTGGCCTGATGGGCCACTTGGCTTGTATGCAGACTTCAACATTACCTTACCTTTCCTATGTGTATCTGTACTGTCTTGTTACTGTGAACCTTGGTACAATGGTGACCACTGAACAATGACCAGTTAATTGTACCTCTAGTCTTGGAAGCCACCGTACAGAGCTTCAGGACAACTGCAGTTATGTGATGTACATCATGTCATTCTGATATATGTGGCATGATTGACATTACAGGATGAGAATATCATTTTGAATGACAAATTTCACATCAAGCTGATTGACTTTGGATCAGCAGCATACATGGAGGAAGGAAAAAAGTTTTCTACATTCTGTGGTACAATGGAGTACTGTTCACCAGAAGTCTTGATGGGAAATAAGTGAGTTTAACTTACTGAAATCTGTGTTTAGCAGTTTAGCCTTGATTTCTCTGCAGGTTTTTTCACTCTTGGTTTCATCTTTAATCATCTTTTCGTCTTTCATCTTTTTTTATTGTGATACATGGCAGCAAAAAACGCAGTCATTAGTTAGGTTTTGAACTTCAGGTCGCGTGTTATTGAAAAGCATGGCTTAATTAGAATGTCTTAGACTTTTTCTGTATTTTGCAGATATGCGGGGCCACAGTTAGAACTGTGGTCAATGGGTGTCACGTTGTATACTCTCGTGTTTGGTGAGAATCCATTCTATGATGTCGAGGAGACCATCAGAGCTGAACTCCACCCCCCGTTTGGTGTTTCACATGGTAAGAATTGTTTGAGGATACACTGAACCACACCTTCCTCACTGATCTCTGATTAAGGATTCTGCGCAAAATTACGGAATAAAATGATGCTTAATTTTGATATGGAGTTGACTTTGAAACAGAAATCTAATAACTTTAAGTGTGATTGGGTGCTTTTTTGCCCTCAGCCTCTTTCCTTTAATGTATACTTTTTTATCTTTTTGTTTTAAAAAAGTGTTTATTAGAAAATAAATATTGTGTGAAAGAATTCTGGGATTATGCATACTTATAAATTTTTTTCACATTTTACTATCAGTGAAATAGTTATTAGCTTGCAACCCAGACTTACTTTGGCCATGTAAGACATTTGCAGACTGCAGACTGCATTTAGGCCTAAATAGTGCTCAGGTTAGCATGAATATCACTCAGGTAACTACTGTAGCCTGAATAGCACTCAGGTTAATGTGTTTATGGTTACATGTAGCTCTCACTAATGGAAATGTAGTCTGTAGTCTGGGGTCTGCAAATGTCATACATGTACACCATTACTTTGGGGACAACACACTTCTCTGATATGAACACTTACAAGTGGAAGAGAAACAAGTGCTTGACAGGCTCAGCAACAAAATATTATAAATAAATGTTACTAGAGTCCTGTTTAAATGACTCCTGTTGGCCGAGCTCTTTATTTTTATTGTCAAACTAATAGTTGTGCATAATAATATTAAGCTCCATAGAGCTGTTTTCACTTGAATGTTGAAAGTAATTTACATTTGCTCAGGGTTTGCATTACTATGCTACATGATTGGCTTAGAAAAAAACTCATGCCATTTTGTCATTCAGTCAGAAGTAAAACCAAAACCAATCCTGACTTGCTCGCAGGCATTTTCCCGCACTTTGCATTTGTTTCATGTACTTGCTTGGAGTTTTGATTGGTTCACTGGAGTGTCCATGTCCTTTGTGATTGACTATTCAAGAGTAGTTTTGGTTTTACAAATTGAAAACTGCTCTAAGGTACATCATTGTCAGGTGATTCAACTGTTGTTGTTTTTATTAGACCTCATGTTTATTATCTGTTGGCTGTTGCACCCTGATCCTCGGTGGCGAGCCACCATCACAGACGTTGAAGAAAACGACTGGATTAACCAGCCTGTGGACATCACCAAGTACTCGTTTGATGCTGTGTTGGGTCAGTTTTAGTTATTTTTGGTAATCTAAAATCTGGTTTCTTTTAATAAGTTATAAATATTTATTATTATCTGTTCAGGCAAGTGATGAGTGAAAAGATTGTGTGTGTTCGTACGTGAGCCTTGAGACTTCTACTAATTCTCTTTGTGGGATGTCTTCATTTGTTAGCAGGTCATATTTTAACAGTAACAGTAACTTTATTAATACATATTTGGATTGCAAGCCTTAGTAGCTCACAGCTAGCAAAGCTATTCTGGGCGAGCTTCTATTACTTTAACAGTTTATCTATTGGATGTAACTGTAACACCTTAAGGACACATTTTATTAACTTTTATGTGGAACTGTATTTTTCAGGTGACCAACTAGATGGCTCACAGCACCATTTACAAGTTTCTGCAGGTGAATTGAACAACAGCCAGAGCGATGCAGACATCACTCAAGATGAAGTCATAGATCATGGTCACCAAGATGACCTTCAGTTATCAGCACTACAGGAGTATCTCAGCATGATTGACAATGACAGCAGTGAGGGTGAAACGTAACATAATCAATATGCTCAATTAAATGAGAACGTCATTGATCAGTGCGATTAATAATGACAGCGATGTGTCAGCTCTTTCTTGTACAGAGTCAGAAAAACTAGTCACTAATAATCACAGATATCAGCTGAAACGTGTGTGAGTCTCTTTCAGGCTGTTTCACTCATCCTTGGTTTTAGTTGTAGATTCAAAAAAATGGAGCATGTGACGATAAATTTGATGATCAAAATCTTAAGGAATTTCCTTGTGGTGTACTCTTTCCTGCAAATTCTTTTCAGAGAAGTTGTTGAGTAGTACCAATTTTTTGTAGTTGCAGTTATCTTCATTTATAGTTCACAGGTCAAATTTATGCACCAAAGAATATGAAACTGCCAAATCGCTAAAATGTAATATTTATTAAAACCAATGGTTCCTGAAACAACAGAAAAAAAATAACAAGTCATGAAAAGAGAAATCTGTGATCAATATTAATTTTTGTTGGACATGACTACTAATTTTATGCAATGCCATCAAACAGTGGTTACTGCTCTTAACACAGAATTATTCTGTTTAATTGTCACCAACTGATTTCATTATTATTTGGCAACAAGAAGGTTTTTTTTTAATTATTATCATTATTAAGTAATCTTAAACATCAAAATTTTCAGTCCAATAAATTTCCAGGGTGCTTAAGACTGTATAGAGAATATAATATTGTACAAAATGTTTAATTTTCTGTTGTATGGTATATTTTTACTTTTTGAAGTTTTTTAAAGAAATGTTCAATACTACTTAAAATTTCAGTCAACTGTTACTTCAATTTTTGTTAAATTTTAAACTTTCTCAATTTTAATGCATGTACTTCTGACTGGTTTTTGGTACTTTTAAGTTGGTATTGCCAATGATAATGTTCATGGCTCTAGGTAATTCGTTTTTTTTTTCTGTTGTGACATTGTTTCACTTACAAGTTTCTGTATTTAAGACATTTTAGCTGCGTTAGTTAAAATGTTATTTAAATTATTTCATGTGGTAACCAAGTTGCAACACATCATGGTCCAATGGGCTAATAACCCTCAGTGGATTGTTATACTCATAAAATGTACAATTTTTGTCTTTTCATAAAACTTTAGACCAGTTACTTCTGCTTACTCGTACAGTTATGCTCTTGGTGTGTAAGCAACAACCAATGACAAGCTTGGTAAAATTACATGAAACATATCAGTTATTGACCAATAATACTCTCTGGAGTGGGTAGAGTCAAACCAGGATCAATTCCACCCATCCCACATGGGATCCCAGTGTGGGATGCATGAGAGCTTTGGCATGGGAGTAAAAGACAGTCCCACACGGAACTCTCCCTCCCCCCCCCCAACTGTGGGAATGGCACATTCTGCCGCAGACCAGGTGCGGAAACCGTTCATCCCACATGGGATCACAAGCGGAATTCACACACCATATGGAATTAGAGGTGGAATAAGTGGGATTTCATTATTTTTTTTCTGTGCTATTTCTTTCTTTTTTTCCCACATAGCTAGCCAATAAACCAAAAGAAACATTTGGTCTATTGCACAAAATAAAAACTCTTTCACCATACTATTTTAGAGGTGGTGTTAATTAAGAAGACACTAAATTGTCTATTTCCTTTGTTTGATAAGAATCTCTACATGTATGTCATTTTATCATACCCAATCCCATATGGGTTTCTTTTGTTTTACTTTGAGCAACAAATTTGTGCTCCCAATGGTTTCATAACTATAAACAGACATACTTTCACTTGTCTCTCAAAATTGACAATAGGTTTACTTCAGGTAGCTTAAAATATCTCAGTTTTGTTCTGTGCAAAGGCTAAACCCTGGCTAAAGACTTACCTGGGCCTAAGACAACTGACTACTGGCTGTACTTTAGGGTTATAAATATATGAGACAAGACAGTCAGTGTGAGGTCTGTTTATAATAATATTATTATATTAAATAGTTCTCCCAATTTATGGTTCTATAAAAATGTAGATAAGGTCAGATTGCATATATGTACAGGAGTTCCTACGGTGTTGGAGTATAACATAATTGAGCCGAGTGATCTGTGTGTACGTTACTCTACTTTTAAGCTGAATGTGAAATGTCACCAAAAAATATAATTAAAAACCAACAAGCAATGCTTGAGTAGCTCGCAAATTTGTCTTTTGAATGGTAACGTGATGAGGTTACATTTCTGTTTGAACCACCTTGCACGGCCTAATGAGCAGTACAAAAATGAATGTGCTGCTTTCTATCTTTCAAATGGTAACATGCTACACTGTCGGGTGTTATTGCAGACTTTTATTAAGGATGCAATGTGTTTCAAGAAGTGTTAACTGGGACTCTTGCTGTATACTCAAGGGCACATTTCATCAGAAAACCAAGAGAACAACTTTTCCTTCATGGTGTAATGTATTTTAATGTTTAGTAAATTATGTTAGAATCCTAACATAATTCCAACTTTATGTGTTGATCAAGGTCACAAAATAATTTATTGACAAAAATAAAAATAATACATATAGACTTGTCTATGTGTGGTAGTCTTTTTAGCACTGACCAAAAAGAATACTTTAAAACATACAACTGTAATCGTGATTGCCACCAATATCACCTCAAAATTTCCTGACTGTTCCATGATAAGAAGAAAATTTCCCTGAGCAAATAAATGCAAAATGTCTGATTATGGTAGTGGCCTCCAGCCTCCTCTTACAACTGTCCTTTCCACCCATTAATTTTAGACTGATCAGTTTTGCCTTCTTCATCAAGGAAAAATATCATTGAGATCACTTTAAATGACCTGACATGTTTCTTCAAGGCAGCCTTCAATGGCATTTAAATCTCTGGTGTTATAATTTCACTTTCCCTGACTTTTCCCTCCTGACTTTTACCTGACCTTGAAACTGTTTTTCCTTTGCCCATTTCCTGACCCATGGCAACCCTGCTATTATTGAAGATCTTCTCCCTTCAGGGACAGTAAAGGTGAAAATTATGTTTTATGTTAGTCTACGTACTAAACTATATAATATATATATATATATCTATCTAGCAACAAAACCTATGTATCAGTTACTTCATACAGGAAGTCTCCCTTAGCTTCACCATAATGAACAACATAAGATGGAAGAATGTGATGAGAGTTAAAAATAACAAGTTCTTTCCCATCAGGGGAGGTGTGAGAGTCATGCCCCATCTCCAGGGGCTCTCCATGGATCAAATTGGTGCATCGGTAAACCTTTCCTGGCAACACCTGGCACAGAAGGAGTTTTGATGCACCTCGGATGTAGGTCATGGAATACGACGGATACTCGCTGAAGTACACTCCTCTGCCATAATATCCTAGCAATGGAATATTACAAAAAATCTTGGTCAATAAATATATCTTATTAGATGTTTTGGTGTGTAGTATCGCTGTATATTTTTACGAGTTGTGCCATATTTTGACAAGCCCATAGGGCGAGTCAAAACACAAACAACGAGTAAAAATATAAAACGATACTACACCCCAAAACACCTAATAAGAGATTTAATATCCAACTGCTGTAGTCAATAAATTTATCAGTGAAAGAGGGAGAGTGTGACAGTTTTGCGTGTGCACGCTGACCTGTCCAGCAAACAGATTTTCAACTGTTCAAATAACTGTACAATATCGCTGTATACTTACTGTTATTTGGACGGTATTTGCTGCAGGTGGATAATAATTCAAAACAACCTGAATCAACAATGATGTCTTGAGTTTTACGCATTTTAAGAATTTGCATTTCAAAGCTTTCCTTTTTTTTTTTAATTTTTAGTTATACATGGCCCCACTAGATGTTAATTAAATTTTACCATGTGTAAATAAAGTTGATTGATTGATTGTTCTGTCATGGTAATGAACACAGTGTTTAAAAAGAGTGATAGCAAAGTTCATTTTAAACCAAAATTCAAGATGTTTTTTCATCTGTGCCTTTTCATATTCTGTGACTCTTCTGTAGGAAACTTATAGTCTTACCTGTATCTGTGGCATGTTCAAAATTTTCTTCACCAGGAACTCTAAACCCTGTGTTACAAATAGAATGAATGTTGTTCTCTTTTGTTCCGTGGAATGCCAATACTGGATATGACATCTTTTCTCCTCGCACTTTCTTAAGCTTCTGCCGCGCTTTCTGGAATCTTCTCATCAACACTGGATTGACAACATATTCAACCTTGGTGATGCGATACTTATCAGTTGTATCAACAAGCCTGTAGAATTGGGACTCTACAAAATAAATCAAAATAAGTTAAAAGACAAAAACTAACTGTAAATCTGAGATCACAAATTATGTTATTGGAACATAGAGAATACCTTACATTCTATCACAATGAAGAAAATTGAAGGTAATCTTGTCACATGCATTTGTGATTTACAAGTTCACTGAGTCGCCAAAAAAAAAAAAAGATTTTGTATTTCTATATTTTCCAAGCATACATTTGTAACCTCAAGAAAGAGAGGAAGTGTATCCAGAGGTGCAAAAGGAGGAGGGGGGAGGGGGGGGGGGG